GTTTGGGTTTAGGGTTTAGGGGTCCGTGTTGCGATTTTAAGGGTTCAGGGTTTTGGGGTTTGATTCCAGGTGTTACTTGAAGGCTTTGCGAGGATGTTTTGAAATTGTTCAGGGTCTCGGTTTAGTTAGTGCTAAGGGGATTGGTAGCCCAGCAAGCATCGTATAACAAGGGTACCCTTTTCAAGGGAACCCAGAACCCAAAACAAGGGGAAAACAAGAGGTGCCACTGGGCTACCAAAGAGCCCTAAACCCTAAACCCTAAACCCTAAACCCTAAACCCTAAACCCTAAACCCTAAACCCTAAACCCTAAACCCTAAACCCTAAACCCTAAAACCCTAAACCCTAAACCCTAAACCCTAAACCCTAAACCCTAAACCGCATCTCAGCTTCTGTAGTTTGGGGCCCTAAAGCTGTAGGATTCCAGGGCGCAGGAATCGTAAGGTTCGGAGTTCACAGCCTGAACCCCAAGATCCAAACTCTGACACCCTAGGTTTAGTGTTTAGAGTTATTTAGGCTTGGGGTTTAGGGTTTAGGGTTTCAGCCTAACCCCGTAAGTCGGAGACTAAAGGATTGAGGGTCTGTCGAGTTAACCCTATACGCCCTAAACCCAAAACCCAAACCTATAAACCCTAAACCTTCATCACGGCGCTAAGCCCGGCACGGGACTCGGCTTCCAAGCACTGCCGCTGCAGTTCAAGCCGCTGGTCGTCGAGCCTAAGAATGGGAACGACTTGGTGTGGGGTTCGGGGTTTAGGGTTTAGGGTTTAGGGTCTAGGGTCTGGGTTTAGGGTTTAGGGTTCAAGGTTTAGGGTTGAGGATGATACGGGCTCAAGCTTTCCTACTCGGCTATCCCGAAAAATGCAGACCCCCAAACCATAACCACTGAACCCTTTCAAGCAAAAACCAAGACACCTGCAACCGGGAGCGCTAAACCCTAAACCGTTAAACCGTTAAACCGTTAAACCGTTAAACCGTTAAACCGTTAAACCGTTAAACCGTTAAACCGTTAAACCGTTAAACCGTTAAACCGTTAAACCGTTAACACGTTAAACCGTTAAACCGTTAAACCGTTAACCCTAAACCCTAAACCCTAAACCCTAGACCCCAAACCCTAAACCGTCAACCCTAAACCCTAAACCCTAAACCCTAGAAGAACAAAGCGTCTCCACCCCCGATGCGCCTCGAGAGCGAGGCGTCCACAGCAGCCTGCAGGGCTGCAAGCTCTGCCTGGGACACGGGGTTGGGTTTAGGGTTTAGGGTTTAGGGTTTAGGGTTTAGGGTTTAGGGTTTAGGGTTTAGGGTTTAGGGTTTAGGGTTTAGGGTTTAGGGTTTAGGGTCTAGGGTCTAGGGTCTAGGGCTTAGGGCTTAGGGTTTAGGGTTTAGGGTTTAGGGTTCAGGGTTTAGGGTTTAGGGTTCAGGGTTTAGGGTTTAGGGGTTTAGAGTTTAGGGGGCAGGGTTTATAGGATTTATAGGGTTTAAAAGGTTTCTAGGTTTATAGGATTTAGAGTTTGTAGGCTTTGTGGGCTTTTGCAGGGTCTGTAGGGTTGATAGGGTTTGTAGGGATTATAGGGTTTCTAGGGTTACGCTTATAGGGCTTTTTGGGCTTACATGTCTTAAAGGGCTTACGGCTTAGTGATTTTGGGGGCATAAGCTTCAATCTGTTTTGGGACATACAGTAAGGCCTGAGGTGCTACACGTGTCACTTTCTAGGGCTTGATGGGTATAGGGTACAGGGGGTGTCGGGGCAACCCTTTAGGACATCTCTTTGACAGCGCCCTACCACCACCTCTAACCTCTAAACCCTCAACCCCAAAACCCAAAACCCTAAAACCCTAAACCCTAAACCCTAAAACCCTAAACCCTAAAACCCTAAACCCTAAAACCCTAAACCCTAAAACCCTAAACCCTAAACCCTAAACCCTAAACCCAAGCTCAGCCCCCCCCCCCCCCCCCCCCCATCCCAAATCCCCACCGCCTCGCCCTGGCTGGCGCGGCGCGCGGCCTCCTGCGCCTCGGCCTGTGAGGCGATTCAGGGTTTAGGGTTTAGGGTTTAGGGTTTAGGGTTTAGGGTTTAGGGTTTAGGAGGATTTGGGCTCATAATTATCTGAAGCACCCAAAACCTGCTTGTTTGTAGGCTCTTCTCATAAAACCCGTTGTAGGATTCTTAGGTAACCTGTGAAAAAGTGGGTTTGGGGTTCGTAATGAAGGTAGGGTTCAGAAATTTGGGGTTTTGAGGTTGCGCGGTGTGGGATTTTTGGGTTTTGGTGTTTTAGGGGTTTTGGGGGTTTGGGGGTCTTGGGGTTCTGGGGTTCTGGGGTTCACAGTTTTTGGGCTTTAGGAAGTTTAGGGCTTCAGGGTGCAGGGTTGTAGGCTTCACGGTTTTTAGTGTGTGTGTGTGGCTGCAGTTGCCACAAGAAGTGGTTGGAATCAGACACCCTCCTAACTTGGGATGTTCCGCCATATACTAACAGTCCTTCATCGGGATTATACTATAGGGGGTACTATAATCCCTATTCGGGAATGTTAGTATAAGAGGGAAATAATAGGAATTGCTATAACCCCGATTCGGGAATGTTAGTATAAGAGGGAACATCTCAACTTCTAAGACCAATTTCGATGCCCTCTGCCAGACGGCCTGGGCTTTCTGTCGCATTGCGGCCTCCGCAGCAAGAGCAGCCACGCGCAGTTCAGCTCAGCGTTAACATTCTCAGCTCTACTAGTAAAATATTAGGATTTCCGGACTCGAAAAACCCCGAGCCCGAAACTAGCCCCCCCCCCCCCCCCCTGGGTGTAGGGTTTGGGTTTACGGCTATAGGGTTTAGGGTTTAGGGTTGGGTTGGTGGGGGGGTGGGGGGAGGCGGCCTTCTTTTTAGGGTACACAAGGAAGGGACCACAGAATAAAAACAAACAAAGGCATGAAAGAGTTCGAAGCTACTGGGAACGAGCTCAGAGCTTTCGGGTTCAGATTTTGCGGGACAACCCTGAACCCTAAACCCACCCCCCTTTAGTGCAGGTCTTAGGGGAAGTTAACCCTGCCCTGAAAGGTTCTGGGCTTGGGGTTTGGTCCTAAACCCTCAACACCCTAATCTTAGAGCCCCCTAAACCCTAAAAACGTTGGGGTTCTTTGTACTGGCCTGTGGGAGCCTTACTGGGATACCTACGAGAATTAAAGCGTGTAGGGCTTCGGATTGCAAGTCCATGTGAGGCTTCCGGGGATGTTGGGCTGTTAGGTTGAGAGGGCTTTTTCGGGGCTTACATCATTCAGTTATGGGGTTTGGAGGGTGCAACCTCCAGGGTATGTGGACACCTCACAAAGACTGCTCAGTTCTCTGAACCCCTAAGCCCCGGACCTGAATCAAGCTGTATGAAACCCTAATGCTCTATAGGCCGTAGGGTTGAAGGGTTTCCCTAAGGGTCCATGTACCTGAATAGGGAATACTTGGGCCCGAAAGTGCTTCCTATGTAGGGACTTTGGGGCCCAAGTATGTAATAGTCAGGTACCCTTAGCCCCTGAACCCTTAGCCCTGAACCCTAAACCCTCAACTCTGAACCCTAAACCCTAAACCCTGAACCCTAAACCCTAAACCCTGAACCCTGAACCCTAAACCCTAAACCCTAAACCCTAAACCCTAAACCCTAAGCGAAGCAGCAGCCCGCTCAGGGGGCCAAAACCTACGGGGGGCGCATCTTTGGTTCCTATGGAGACCGGCTCGTGGGCTCTTCTGTGCATGGAAGAACCCTGAGCTTCTCGTTGGTGGCCCTTTAGGGTTTAGGGTTTAGGGCTTAGAGTTCAGGGTTTCGGGTTTAGGGTTTGGGGTTTGGGGTTTAGGGTTTAGGGTTTGGGGTTTGGGGTTTGGGGTTTAGGGTTTAGGGTTTTCCTTCTAGACACATGGTCCCTCAAGTATGGGCTCGTAAATGTGGACCCCTTATACACCTCTCCTATACCCTACTGAAAACCTATTCAAGTCTAGCAAAACCAAGGGCCCATACCTCAGAACCCTTTAACCAAGGTGAGGCGCCACATGAAGGGTTTAGGGTTTAGGGTTTAGGGTTTAGGGTTTAGGGTTTAGGGTTTAGGGTTTAGGGTTTAGGGTTTAGGGTTTAGGGTTTAGGGTTTTAAAACAAGTATGTAGAAGCAAACGCTGGGGTTCTTCCCGCTGGGTGGCCACATCACAGCAACGTTGGCTGTGCCTGACCAATAAATGGGCTCTTCCCGCTGGCTGCGTCACAGCAACGTTGGCTGTGCTTGACCAAATCCTGCTCTGCCAGGTCTGCAATGCAAAGGGAAGGCAACCCATAAAGCTCTAAACCCTAAACCCTAAACTCTAAACCCTAAACCCTAAACCCTAAACCCTAAACCCTAAAACCTAAACCCTAAACCCTAAACCCCAAACCCCAAACCCCAAACCCTAACCACCCGGACATCGACAACACTTCGAGAACCCAACCTGGGGCTGGTGCCCTCCTCAAGTTGTTTCGGTACCTCTCTTGGGGGGTGTTGGATACCCTGAAGTCCAGAAGGATGTAAGGTTTAGGGCCACAATCTTGAACCTGGACAGTTACGACGCGTCACGGGGCCCCAGCGTTTAGGGTTGAGGGTTTACCTTGCAGAACCAAAAACCTACTTCTGTTGGCAGGGTTCCTAGTTATTCCCTAAGGGGATCTATACTACTTAGAACTACAAAAACAAGTGGGGGACCCCAAATATAGGCCCCCAAACAGTAGGATCCCCGTCCAATAAGGACCCAGCAAGATACCCCCCCCCCCCCCCAATTTCGAAAAGCCCCCCAGTAGTTAGTGGGTTAACGTTCTTAAGGTAGGGAATACAAGGTTCAATCTGGCGGCGGCACGGACTCGGATGCCGCGAGTGCAAAGCACAGAGGGTCCATGTACCTTATTCTGATACATACTTGGGCCCCAAAGTCCTCCCTCTTTCTAGGAAGTACTTCAAGGCCCAGCTATATAATCACAAGGAACATGGACCCTTAGGGGCAGAATGTCAGACCTGCTCGCCTTGGGCATTCTGATCCTTAGTTGAGCAGCTCTGGGGCGGGGCTTCGGGTAGTCCAGGAGGTCGGGAGTATAACCCCCTTCCGCCCCCAACAAAAAGATTAAACAAATAGTTTACGATCTCACCCTAAACTCCAAACCCTAAACCCTAAAACCTAAACGTTTGCTAGCTCACCCGACGCTGCCAAAGGATCCTTCTCGGTCTCTGCCTCCTTATCCTGGGGCTGCTCCCCGCTGGTCTGCACGGTCTGTTCGCATTCAAGGGCTTAGGGTTTAGGGCTTAGGGTTTAGGGTTTAGGGTTCAGGGTTTAGGGACCAAAGGGCCCCAAGATCCCCAAGAATGAGGCCTTTCAGCCCCAAAGCAGATGAAAGGCCTTAAGTGGGCATTGGGGTTCTTAGGGTAGGTCTTATCTTCGATTCCTTATTGAGTTTAAAGTGCCCTTAAGATGTAAATGTTACCCACTACTGCTATGACAAAGTTATGGGGCTTGCCCAGGCCTGCTCGGCCTGCTGCTGCGCCCGCTGCGCCTGCCGTTGCTCATTCCGCGCCTGCACGTGCTGGGTCAAAGTTGCCCGCACCGCTCCCGAGACATCCGCGGCTACTTGCTGGCATAGCTGCCTCGGTTTAGGGTTTGTAGGGTTTAGGGTTCAAGGTTTTGGGGTTTAGGCTTAAGTTCCCTTGAAAGGGTCGTATATACAGCAAGAAGTGAAATAGAATGTGGCAACCGAACTTTAGCCCTAAACCCTAAACCCCAAATCGTAAACCCTAAACCCTAAACCCAAAGTTCCATATCTTGGCCCAGGCAGCTCGGCCATTGCTTGTGGGGACCTCCAGATTGCGAGCATGTGAGCGGCCTAGGATTCAGGGTTTAGGGTTTAGGGTTTAGGGTTTAGGGTTTAGGGTTTAGGGCATGTGAGCGGCCGTGCCGATGTCGAAACCGAGCATGGTCCAGCGAAGCAGATGATCGCCTTGCCTTGGGTTTAGGGTTTAGGGTTTAGGGTTTAGGGTTGTTTAGGGTTTAGGGTTTAGAGTTTAGGGTTTAGGGCTTAGGCTTTAGGGTTTAGGGTTTCTTCTCCAAGAACCTAGGCAAACGAAAGGTTACAATCTATATGATTCCTAATTACTGAATAAGGACACCCAAAAAATTTAAAGTTCAACTCTTGGCGAAGTAAGTTGCGCACCAGTGGTCAGTCCATCGACGACAGCGCCTAGGCAGACCGGAAATGCAGGCAAAAACAGACAAGGGTGCTTCTTTTCCACCATCGCAGTCCCCACCCTTTTCCAAAAAAGGTGTCCTAACCATTGATCTGGGCGCCGATCATCAGGAAGAGTAGGCCATACTCTGCTTGAAGCTTCAGGGTCTTGCCCAAGAAATTGCCCGCAAGCTTCGCAGCCATCGGGCCACAAGCACCTGCGTCAAGCCGTTTAACATAACTGTCGTTTAGAAGGGGAGCACAAGCGCACGAACTTGCTCTAAACCCTAAACCCTAAACCCTAAACCCTAAACCCGAAACCCCCACCTCTGGCCGCGGTGCCCAGCCAGAAAAAAAGAGCCAGCTCACCTCCAACGAAGGCATAAACCAATACCATGGTTGGTTCCAGCTGCGTGGCCGCTGCCACGCCCACAAGCGAGCCCACCAGGAAACTCAGCGTTCCGACAGCCTTAGTACCCTAAACCCTAAACCCTAAACCCTGACCCTAAACCCTAAACCTTATAAACCCTAAACCCTAAACCCTAAACCCTGAACCCCATGCCCGAGTCAAGACATCTGCGGAGCTGAAAGTAGATTAAAAGAAAACAGAGAGATGGGCAGATTATGTGGGCAGGTCCCAAATTACGCTAGCTTTTTATCTCTCTCCCAACAAAAACACGCCCCTAACTTAGGATCCTACCCATACAAGCTCATGAACGAACATACATCAGCAAGGGACTCTTCGAAGCCCACGAGAGGCGCTGAAGAACAGTCAGGAATAAATCTACCAGGATGGCTGTATAACCTTTACCCTAAACCCTGAACCCTAACCCTAAACCCTAAACCCCAAACCCTATGAAGCCCTGTAGTCGTTATGAACCTTTAGGGGTACAACGTCAGGGGTACAAGTCTGAATCCCTTGAAAACATGCCTAAACCCTATCGCAGAGGAGCACGAGTATGGAATTAGGTACCCAAAAGCCGTACTATATTGGGACCCTGGTTTATAAACCCTGAACCCTAAACCCTATAGACCCTAACAGACCACCCTGGCAAGAAGCTGCAAACTTGCGAATGCTGGCGTACGCCTGTCGGATTAACCTCTCCGCAGGTGCCGCCACCTCTCGGAATGCGGTTTAGGGTTTAGGGTTTAGGGTTTAGGGTTTAGGGTTTAGGGTTTAGGGTTTAGGGTTTAGGGTTTAGGGTTTAGGGTTTAGGGTTTAGGGTTTAGGGCTCACGTAACCCTTAGGCCTCTCGGATCAGCGCATGGACGAAGGGTTGCCGCGCGCCGGTGCTGGGGTTTGCCATGGCGTTGCTGGGCTCTGAGGATACGACGGGAGGCCTTGAGGACCAAGCGAACCTCTAAAACTGAGATCGTTTTTCCCCCTATACTGCGATAATCCTTATTAGGGTTATCCGAGCCCCAAACCCTAAACCCTAAACCCTAAACCCTAAACCCTTAACCCTAAACCCTAAACCCTAAACCTTTTAGGGGGGGGGGGGGGGACCCTGAGCTGCCACGGCTCCTTGAGGTGCCAGCGACTGAACCGGGCTTTGGAAAGCTTGGGATCCTGGTTTTGGTGTAGCCCCTGTCCCCCCCCCCCCCCCCCCCACATAGGTTTAGGGTTTAGGGTTTAGGGTTTAGGGTTTAGGGTTTAGGGTTTAGGGTTTCGGGTTTAGGGTTTGGGTTTACATTGCGGACTGAAACTCGGAACCCTGGCGGCCAAAAGCCCAAACCATGCTAGGGGTTTAGGGCTTGGGGTTTAGGGTTTAGGGCATCCTTTCTGTAGGATTTAGGGTTTAGGATTTAGGATTTAAGGTTTAGGATTCTGGGCTTAGGGCTTAGGACTTGGGCTCAGCCCCTGGGTCACCTCATCATCCAGCTGTCGCTTCAACTCGGTGGTGGTTGCTTTGGTCGACCTCAGGGGGAGGGGGGGGTAGGGTTTAGGGTCCAGGGTCTAGGGTTTAGGATTTAGGGTTAGGGCTTCGGGTCTAGGGCTTAGGAGGGTTTACAGTATAGGGTTTAGGATTTAGAAGTTTGGGGTTTAGGGTGTATAAGTTTAGGTTTTAGGGAGTGCTGGATTGTGCTTGGCACCTGCGATGCTTGCCTGAGAGCCCGAAACCAGTTGCTCCAAGGCTGAATAGGTGAATGTCACAACAGGGCAACCCCCTCGTTACACGGAGGGCCCCCCCTTACTATACTAACTGCAGTTAAGGGACTTATATCCTAAATTAGGGTTTTGACCCTAAACCCTAAACCCCAAACCCTAAACCCTAAACCCTTGTAACACATTTTAGGGTGCTTATCACTCACTTATTACTAGACGGGGGGCCTCCTTGTACTAGGTACAAGAAGAGCATTTAGCTGAAGAACTGATTGCCAGTTTGGATCTGGTTGAGGGTCTACATAGGGTTTAGGGTTTTAGGGTTTAGGGTTTAGGGGGAAGTGGGGAAGTGGGGAAGGCAAAAGAGTGCCAGAAGAATCTGCGCAGGCGAAGGGTACAGAACACATCTTCGGGCTTAAGGGGAGTGGGCTGCTTTGCGCTTGCCTTTCAAGTACCAGGTGTTGAACGAATTTGGTGAGGGTTTCCATTCGAAGTGGGCCTCATGGAACATGGCAAATCTAGATACATATGCATGTATATATCTATATGTACTTTTTGTATATATATATATATATATATATCTCTCTCTTTCATTTGTTTATTTATTTGGTGAATTCATTCAGTGCTTTCGAGAAGTAAACTGACTTCCCTGACCCATTCTTGTATTGGAACGGTCCTTTTTGTGCGAATGACCAGGGGTCCAGGAACCCAGATTTGTCCTGACACTTCTGCGTGGATCTTGGTTCTTGGTATTTGTTCCCCGCGGCTTGTTTTAGCACAAACCATTTGAAGATGGGCTGGTCGCAGACACCCAAAACCTGAGATGAACTCTGGAAACCCTAGGAACCCTAATCAACCCTAAACCCTAAACCCTAAACCCTAAACCCTAAACCCTAAACCCTAAACCCTAAACCCTAAACCCTAAACCCTAAACCCTAAACCCTAACTAAACCCTCAACCCTGAACCCTGAACCCTGAACCCTGAACCCTCAACTATAAACACCCTGTACGCCCTAACTCCTCCTCCCCCTCCCGCCCCCTCTCCGCTCCCCTCCCGGCCGAGCGCCGGGCGCAGTCCCGCTTTCCAAGCCTTGGATGCGCCTGTGCAGAGCCTCAGAAGAAGCCATCCTTGGGGACGAAATGAACCCTAAAAGGGTTTATGGTTCATATACCTTAATAGGGATTCTAGTAGTAGAGGGTATACGACCCCAATTTTAGGGTTCATTTCGTCCCAAGGATGGTTTGGGATTGCAAGGAGGGTTGTGGTTTAGGGTTAGGGTTCGGGCTCAGGGTGACCCTCCATCCCAAAAAACATGTCTCTAAAATCGTTCCAGAACGCCAATGAAGCAAAACAACCCTACACTCTACAGACTGTCCCACCCCCCTCCTTCAGGGTTCACATATGCTGCCCTTCCTTTCAATTCCCCCCCCCCCCATGTGAGCCCCCGGGCGCGATTCTCCTCGACAAGCTCTTTCCGAGCCTCCTGTTAAACCCCAAACCCTAAACCCTAAACCCCAAAACCCCAAACCCTAAACTCTAAACCCTAACCCCTAAACCCATCACTGTTGGGCTGGGGCTGGTCTTAGACCTGCGAGAGAACCCTTTACAGAAATAAAAGGGACCTTGTGTCGGGTTGTTTATGGGGATGGTAGGGTGGCCCATCCTGGTGTACAGCCTGAAAAGGGTAATTTTAGGGTTTGGGGAAAACCTACAAAGTGAATATGGGCATTTCCCAAAACAGGGGTGCCCCTTCTATACCCCGAAAAGAATAGAATCCCCCCAAAAGGACCCCCGAAAAGGGTACCTCCATTTTCGGAAGGCCCCATACAAAGTCTTTGAAGATACCCAAGGTGCCTTCCTAGAGTTTACAGTTTGTTGGACAGGGGGGGGGGGGAGGGGGGGGGGGGGGGGGGGGGGAGGGGGAGGGGGGGGGGAGGGGGGGGGGGAGGGGGGGGGGGAGGGGGGTGGGGGGGGGGGGGAGGGGGCGGGAGGGGGGGGGGGGGGGGGGGGAGGGGGAGGGGGGGGGGGGACGGGGGGGGGGAGGGGGGAGGAGGCGGGGGAGGGGGGGGGAGGAGGAGGGGGGGGGGGGGGGTCAAGAATGAACCAGGAACCCGCTGCTTCCTACTCTTGTTTACCCTAAACCCTAAACCCTAAACCCTAAACCTTAAACCCTTCCCCCTAAACCCGAAAACCGAAACCCCAAAAATCTTGCTTGGTTTAAGTTGGGGGCGGTTGGTTCAGTTGCGTTTTTTTCAGGCTTAGCTGACGGGGCGGGGTTCATGGGGCCCTCCTCAAGGGTGTACCCTTAGGTTTGGGGATCCTTTTTCAAGGATTCCTAAGGGAATAAAAGGGCCAGATTAGGTGTACATTAAGGGGAACCTTGAGGGGTACGACCGCCATTGGGTACGAGTCTCAATCCCTTGAGGGGTACACCCTATAACCCTAAACACTAAACCCTAAACCCTAAACCCTGAACCCTAATGGGGTGAGTGGAGCCCTGGTCCGATTCCTCCACTTGCGAGGTCACCTCCTCGCGAACCTTCACCGAGGCGTACGCAGCGCTCGCTTAAGTAAGCGAGTTCAGGGTTCCCCTAAGGGCCCATGCACCCAAATAGGGAATACTTTGTGCCTTAAAGAACTTAAAGGGACTTTGGGCCAAGTATATATTTTTAATAAGGTACATGGATCCTTAAGGCTCGGGGGGCTTTGGTATTTGTAGGTCTTACAAAGGGAAGCATTCAAGGGATGTTGGGTTTGAGGTTCGGACTTACAGGGCTTCAGGTTTGGGACCTGGAATAAGGTCGACTCTCTGGAATAAACCCTAAACCCTAAACCCTAAACCCGAAACCCTAAACCCTACACACCTCAGCCCCTCGACCCCGAGAGGCTACCCCTTCCAACGCTCCCAGGCACGAGAAGCCGCAAAACGGTACCCTTAGGGTTTCCCTTGGGGACCCTAAGGGGTTTAGGCTTTAGGGTTTAGGGTTTAGGATCCGTGTACCTGAACAGGGACTACTTGGGCCTTCAAGTACTTGCTATCTAGGGACTTTGGGGGCCAAGTATAAAAACCATAACGTACATGGACCCTTAGGGGTAAGTCTTCCTGCAGCATGCTCTTGTTCCAGCTGTTGTGTGTTGTCGAAGCCATGATGGCGGCGGTGATTCTGAAACCGATCCGATTCAGAGGCAACAAAATTCAGGGTTTAGGGTTTAGGGGTTTAAGGTTTAGGGTTGAAATTCATTTATTGTTGTCAGGCATTATGCCCGCGTGCCCTGCGAGGATATCTTGCGT